AATTCAACTTAACATTTTTGGAACGATGGTTGAAGTTGCTAGCAATGTGGTGAATGTAATAAACGTGGTATGCATTAGGTGGTTACTAACCTAGGCTTGTACTCCTCCCTATTGACTTAATACTTTGATGACGGTTTGATATCAAACATTGAGTGACACATTGGCAAATTTTTGCCAAAAACCATGACTAGTTGCTTAACATTTCTCTCTTAACTATTGCAATTGTTATTGGAAGCACATGAGAATTACCATCTTGTGTTGTGGCGATTAAATGAATGTCTTGATATTTTCCATACAAGAACATCCCATCAATTTGAATATCACGTTTGGTGAAGTTAAATGCATCACATATAGGTTTGAATGTCCAAAACATATGTCTAAATTGACGAAAATTTTTATCAAGTGCATTGTTTAAGACATAATCTATTGTCTCAAGAATGTATGTTAAACCTTGACAAACTTCAAGCATCCTATCCATCCATTTTGGCATAGATCATATGAATCATCCCAATTTCTAAAAATCCTTGATATTGCTTTTTTGCTTTGCCTTCCAAGCCTTCATGTATAATACCTTGTAATTAAACTAACACTACAAAAAATGTTATATACAGTGAGATACAAAAAGTGTTACTATAAGTATAATATATGTAAATATATATCTATTTGACATATGTCTAAATTGACAAAAATTTTCATCAAGTGTATTGTTTAAGACTTAATCTATTGTCTCAAAAATGTATGTTAAACCTTGAAAAACTTCAAGCATCCTATCCATCCATCTTGGCATAGATCATAAGAATTATCCCAATTTCCAATAATTCTTGATATTGCTTTTTTACTTTGCCTTCCAAGCCTTCATGTATAATACCTTGTAAACTGATGACCACTAATTCGTTCTTGTATTAACGAAATGGATACTAAAGCATCTTCTTTGACTATACTTAAAATGATTAGCAATATAGTTAATTATGTTTGATATAAATAAGATGTTACTAATTACTTTTATGATTTAATGAATAAAATAATAAATCCTACCCAAAATACAACAAAAAATGAATTTAGAATATAATTTGTTGTAGTCTTGAGATAATATCGCATTAATGCATGGGTGTCGACCACCCCATTTCTTGATGATCCATTTATTATTCATTTTACTTCCATTATTCCCCTCATTTTTCAAGGACAACTATCATTGTTGTTTGGACACTTTAAGGACAAAACCTCCAAACCAGACTCAATAACACGAGAAGTCTAATGTGCATTCATTGAATAATATTTTACAATCATTTTCACATCAGCATTAGTGTGAAATCACAGCCCAACATACAACTTGTCCCCCACATGCCATAAATTAGGGACATCTAAACCATTAAACCATGTCTCTTGATTAGGGTGGGACCAATCGATGTATGTGTAATGTGGTATTGAATTCCAAAACGGAGGTTGGATTTTCCCTATAGAACAAAGATAGTAATCAAAAAAATGTTTTTGACAATAAATACACAACAAATTAACAATCTCAAAAGAAACATCAATACCTTGTTCATTATTAGTAGGAGGTGTTGCGTTAAATGGCGATTGAATACTCATTAAAGGCTCAATGTTTGCATCAAATTCGCCTTCAACATTTGTGTCTGAATAATTACCATTAGGAATATGCGCTTCTTCAATTACCATGACATATTATTGTCTTCTAGTCTGTGCATGAATAATAAAGATGTTGTCAAGTGTGTCATTAATTGATATAGTGTTAACGTTAATTAGTCTCATTTGTAATAACATTAGATAAAGAAAATGAAGGACCAAAAGTATCAAATCTGATATATAACTCGATCATTATGCTATTAAACTAGCTTTGAAAAACTTTAAACATGCTTCGATATCTTTATAATTTGTAATCTCATGACCTTTGTAGTTAGGTGGACTAATGAAACGAAGATACGATACTTACAAGTGATGGAAGAAATAATTTGATGGTCAAGTAATTTAAGTTTGTTAGATTTTTCTTTTTAAGAATGAATAATTAATTTCATGACTAATGTGAATAATTTTCATTTGACCCGTAAATGATAACCCGGATCATCACAAAATTGATGGCTGTTAAAATACAATAAACAAATGAAATTCATTGTCAATTAGACAAGTTTTAATAGAAAAAAAAACAACGAACAAACCTTTGAAATTTTTTGAAGTTATACTGCATACTATGAAAAAACTTTTAAAGTTTTGTAAAATTTCGCAAGAAAGCAAATAGAGAAATCACCGACGATATAATGAGAGTTAAGAAAAATATAACGAGGGTGAAGAAGATGAAATAGAGAGTGAAAATGTTAAGGGGTGGTGGTGTTATAAATAAACACCTCACCCCTTATGCGATTCAAAATTCAAACAAGTTATGGTAGATTGATGGGACCAAACATTGGAGTGACGAGACGAAACGCTGCATTGCTTGCAAAGTTGGAAGTGACCTGATTAATAGAAAACGCCTCCTATGCATTTTTTGTTCATCACCCCTAGACAATACCTACACTGCATCATACTATACATTGGTTCATGGGATAAGACACATTAAACTATGCATGGGTTCATGAGATAAAGCACAAAAATGCACTAAAAACACTTATCCCTAGGCATTTTTTTTGTGCATTTCAAAAACGCACACAAAATGCCTATCCTCCTAAGTGTTTTTTGGTGTAGTTTTGACATGCAAAAAAAACATACCCCCCTAACATTTTCTTTGCATTTTAAAAATACGCACAATACATCTAAAGGGATAGATGTTTTTTTTGTACTTTTATGACTTACACAAAGTGTTTAAACTTCCGAACGGTGTTACCATGTCCAAAACTATTTATTTTTGGTAAATTATTTTTAAAATTATTTATTTTTAAATTTTTTAAATTTAGTTTGGTCAAAAAGCTGAAATCTCATGTACTATTTTTTTTTTTAATTTTTTTTGCTAAATAATCCCTTTTCATTTGTTTGCTAAACATATATTTTTTTTTTCATTTTAAACCTTTAATTTTGCTTAATTTATTTGTAACTTCTGCAATTGGTTGAAGAAGTTAATTTTTAGTACAACTAAATTCCTTTTATGGATTGATTTATTTTTAGAGAGATAAATTTTTAATGATATCTTCAATTCCGATTTCATACTTACAACGATAATCGAATCTTGTTCCTTGAAGTAGTTCATTTAATTTAATTTAGTATATAGTTCATGTAAAACATGAATTCATTTTTTTTTGGCAAATAAAATTGAAGAAGAAAAGAAATTATCGTTTCAGACTACAACAAACTTTTTATTGTTTACCTAACAATTTATTCATAATAGAAATCAATCAAAAAATTGGCAAACAAATAGTTCACAAGAGGAACATTTGTGATGCATTGTTTTTCTTTTAATATTTTTTTTTATTGGTCATAAAATTGTACGCCTACTTTACCATAACTTGAGTTAGCTATGTATTAGTGGCCAACAAATACGTTGCTCATAATTTTATTCGCATTATAACTTATAGTAAGGTGATATTTTTCGGTTTCTAGACTATAGATGATCACTAAAAATTAAAATCACTTGCACAAATATTTTTCTCCTATCCATGTTTATTATAAAACAAATATTAATTTAATAGATTAATGATTACCAAATCAAACATTAAGCTCTGATTTTTTTTCTTTTTTAAACAGTATTATCTCTTATCCTAATTATAAGTAATAAATTGAATTTTTCTTTGATTCTAATTATCAATAATTATTAATTTTTAAAATTAATCATAATTAAATTTATTTTATACTTTTTATTTATTATTAACTTTATTTTTTATGCATTTATTTATAATTAACATTAAATATAATAGTTAATTAAAATAAAGGATAAGTTTGAAACATAAATTTAATTTAAATTTATGGTAGAATTAATTATAAATAACTATATATAATAATTACTTTTTTTTGTGTCGATGATTTATCCCATTAGGCTTATGGGGGAAGGTGTTATAATGATTAACAAACTTAAAACATTAATTAGAGTTGTCAACAAAATTGAACAATGTTTATAAAAGTTCTAACGGTCGATTTAGTATATATGAAGATTGGAATAGAGGTTTGAACTTTGAAGACTTAAATTTGATTTTTATTATCGTCATTATATAATAAAAAATATGAAAATCATATCATATTAAAATTGAATTGAGTTTAAGTCATTCCAAAAGAAAAAAAAGGGAAAAAAAAGTCGAATAAAATTAAAGAATTATCCAACTCAAAGTGACATAGGGCATGTTAACACGACCTATATTATAACAAGTAAAAATGCACATTTGCTTGTTTCAATTGCTCTCAATTCTCGGGCTTCTTCAGTTAGAATTTTGAAGTTTGAAAGAAAATCAAAATTGAAACGTGTTCGAGAGAAAATCAAAAGTTCAAAACAATAAACATCTAACGAAAGTGAAAACCACACGCTACACAAATATCTACCGACACGTCCTATTAGGTAGAGTGGTTTTTTTTTTATATTTTTTTTTTTTATCGTTTAGTTGTATCCTCTAACAAAATCAATTAATCAACTAATCAAATTTGTTGCTTGCAAAACTGTATAAAATAAGAAGAAAAATATCAAGAACCATCAACCAAAATATGTTGCTTGTATATTTAAAACAAACAACACTCAAAGTATTTCATTTCATTAAATTGATCAATACGTTTTCCTTCCTTATTCTATATATGTTTTATTTAAAAATTAAAAAATCAGATTCTTATTTTGGTAGAATAAGAAAAAAAGAAAAATAATTTATACATTGACCTTGAGGAAATTTTTTTTATATTATTATTCATTTAATAATAAATTTATTGATTTTTATAATGACTATTTTAAAAATTATATTATCATTTTCCTTATTATAATGACTATTTTTATTATACTATGATTTCAGATTAGTGGATATTGTAATTTTTTTTTAATTTACAAAGCAAAAAAGCAACAGGTTTTAAGTAGTTAGAGATGAGGTAACAGGATCAGTGGATAAATTGTTAATCAGAATTGATTTGTTCTTGCTATTAGAATGGAATAGCAAAGTTTATACAGAATTCTTCTTGGATTTGTTTCTCTTGAACCTGTTATAATCTTCTAATAATCTACCATGAAATTCCTGCTTCATTTCATCCAACACTGTTTTGAAAACCTGTGAATTAACCAGCAAGTCATCAATAATATGATTCAAACAAATTATCTTCATGCATGAGCTAAATAGGAAGAAAGGAAGTGATCAAAGGTATAATCTAACCAGCTCTAAGGCATCCTCTAATATATTTTCAGGAATGAAAGTTGTTCCTGGAGAAACACAAAAGGTTATCTTCATCTCCATTTGATTCTTAAGCCAGCTATATTTTCCCTTCCTTTCTGGGTATAGAGAACCTTTAACATCTAGGCTAATGTGGTAAGGATTCTTGTTAAAGGTATTCAGACCCTGTAGCTCCCACCTTATCTGCAAAACAAAATGTCCATCTCTACAAAGTTTAATAAAATAAAAAGAACTTACATGCAGTTCTTTAAGTACTTCTGGTACTTTTTTTTTTTTTTATATTTTATTTTATTTATTTATCAGAATTGAACCTTGGAAATCAAGGTGACAAAGGTTTATGCTGATATAGATTACTTGGATGAGATTTCAATTTTAATTGAAAAATAACACCCAATATACCTAAAAAAATATATCTCTAAGTTTTGTCTTTTAACAAATTAGAAACTGACCAAGGTATGTTAGAATGGAAATGCTTACAAAGTGAAGCTCAAGAACTTTTGTGACATGATGAGGAATGTGAGGGGGATAATCTTCCCCATTGGACTTGAATGTTAACCTGACATCTGCTGTTGGCTTGATATTTAAGAATAAGCATTGTATGGGAGGCATTTTAATCCTCCACACTTCCTGCATGCATACATATAACACCACAAAGCACTTTGAGATGACAAGAATCAAGTTTTGTTTAACTTCTCCAGAAGCACTTCTACCAGAGAATGATAAGAAAATAAAAATAAATAAATAAACTTCTCTCTAAACTAAAATTAGTTTATGCATAAGGAAAAATAAAATAAACTTTTCCTAGAAGTAATTCTAAAGAGGTTTATACAAAAGACTCTTTATTTCCTAGTTTCTTTCCCATCATAGATGATGAATGAAAGTTAATTACCTCATTGAGCTGTGTAGTTAATCCTTTGTTATCAGAAAACACAGCTCTAAAAACTCTCTGCTTGTCATCCATATATTGATCAAAGGAAGCCTGCAAAGAACATTAACATTTATTTCAGACATCGTTGTGATTCCGGTTGCGACAAATGAATAGTTTATCAAGGAAAACTATAAACCCTCTATCAAATTAAGAAGGGAGGATGAAGAGGGTGAGAATGGCATACCCCTGGCAATTCATAAATAGGAACATTGGCTTTGCTTCTGAAACTGAATGAGGAAGTTTTCTCATTCCTAATGGAGTTTGATGCTGCCTTTATATGAAACTTCTTTAGTAATTTGGGTTGGAAAGGAACCAAGAGAAGGCTAGCCATAATATGGTTGACACAATGAATATATCTACCTTTATAAATTAGATGCCTTATCAACGCAGCAAGGTATGCTATTATTGTACTTCTTTTTCATCCATCTATGTATTCATGGTATTTAACTAAATTGGTGAGTGAGTTCCAATTAATTAATATTGTAGTGACCATTATCCATTAATTAATCATAGTTAAGGTAACCATAGTGTACCTTGTGAGTTGTGAGATTATAAGTCACCACAAGACATTAAGATTGTGTGAGTTCAACACTTGAAAGAAATGTCAACCAAGACTTGAAAGAATTACTTGGGGGTTGGTTTAAGGGACCATTTGGCTTTGCTAGAATGGTAACAAAAGCTTGCAAGCATGTGATTAGGTCTTAGTTTTCCTTAAAAGTGCTAATTTGTGGTCCACAAAAGTTGATTTTGGTGGAAACAAAATATGTGGGCCGGCAAACCCTTTGGTTTTGGGGCAGTGCATTGGATGGAAGTTAGTGTTCTAACGTGTTGGCAACAACAAATAGTGAGCAAATTAAAGTATGACTTGCAAAATACGTGGGACAATAAGTTTGGAATATCTTCACGTAAGCCAACAAGATTCCAATGATATCATCATTCAACCAAGGAACAAGTAGATCAATTCATGTAAGTTTCTAACTTAACAATAGTTAAAAAAAGTTAACATTCAATACAAGATATAATGATTTTTAAAACAAAATAAAATATATATAAATAATATATATATATATATATAGTTATTTATATCATGAGTTTAATTATAATTTCTATACACAATAGTAGTCGATGTAAACTATACACATTTAATAGAAATCTAACTTATTATCATGTTATATTAATAAATAGATTGAAGTGGTAAAATAATTAAATCTTATTAAATATGAGTGTATGTATTTTACAATATATATAAATTAAATAATATTTATATTAATATTCATTGTAAAATAAAATATAAATAGGCAAGAGGTCTTTTGAGTCCTTAATATACAGAACAATAATATTTGAACCTGGATCAAATATAGTCGGTACAATGACAATTTCACAAATTAATGGTAAGTAAAGATACTTTCTATTTTATTATCTTTTTTTTTTTCTCACATAACTTGTAACGTAGAGAAAAAAAAACCCAATGTGGCTGATTTAGTAGCCCAGAACGGGCCGTTCCCAAACTAGAACGGGCCGTTCCAAACTACTAATTTGACCTGAAAAACATAGTTGAGAACATAATGATAACTTGAGGTGTGTTTCTGTTGAGTTATTATAGTTAAAGAACATGTTGTATTGTGTTAAAAAGTTACAAGTTGACAAATTGTTGAAGTCAATTTTACTTGTATACTTATTATGTTGATTCTTTTGAATACTAGTTTAACCTTACATGTTTCCTCGTGGTTGAACTACAATGATCATATTTATATAGGAGCAAGGTATGGATAAGCTAGAGGCGATGTGATTTGAAGGCCATGTTGGGCAATGACAATGGTGATCTTTTGAGCTACTTTGATGTAGTTGATTTAGTGGGGGTTGCTTGACAAACAACTTAGAATTATTATTACAATACTTGATTATTGTTCATATTTATTTACTTGTATAGTAGTTATATTAATTTAGTCATTGATGCCAAAATTTTACATGTATATACTACCCTACACATATCGAGATATTGATTACATATTAATCTTATGTAGTTTGATGTTTGTTTCCATTACTAGTATTTGAATCATTAAGTGTAAGGACTTGGTGGGTTGTTACACTTTTATGGTACCAAAGCTAGTCAAATCTTTTGGGCTCTCTTTAAGGGTGACCCCATTAGGTTTATATTGTGAATGTTGTTTTGTTGTTGCGTGTTGTGTTGTGTTGTTATACAATGTTGCTTAATGGATTTATTGATCTTAGTATAAGATGGTTAGACCTCAATATGACCAGATGGTTAGGGACATATACAACAACAAAATGCTAATTTTACTCAAATGGAAGCGAACTGGTTTATAGTTGAAGTAGCTAGACTAGTAGTATCACAGGAGACTAGGGACTTGGCTGAGTTTAGGAAATGTTATCCTTCTCAATTCAAGGGAGATTCGAATCCAAAGGTGGCTAACCACTGGATTTGTGAGATGGAGAAAATATTCCACGTGATGGGATGCCCTAATGAGAGGAAGCTACCTTATGTTGTGTACATGTTGATTGAGAAGGTTGAGTACTACGAAAGGGTACCCAATAGATGTTGGAGACTAGGGGTGTGATGGTGGACTATGAATGCTTTAAGAGGATATTTCTTGAGAAATGCTTCTTGGATAGTGTGAGATACACCAATGAAGTTGAGTTCATAAGACTATATCAAGGAAATATGAATATTTTTGATTATGCCATGAAATTTGAGCATTTGATTCATTTATATTCTTAGGGGATTTTCGAGGCTTAGAGGTGTAGATGATTTGTAGAGGGGTTGAGACACAAGCTGAAAAAGGTGGTGTTGCCTATTGCTATCACGAAGTTTCCTTCCTTAGTAAAGAAGGCAAAGATTGTAGAGAGGATTGAATGTGTTGGTGGTGGTGGAAATGTGACCAAGGGTCAAGAAAGGCCATTTGGGTCCAAGAGAGGTGAATAATAAAGAAGACCTTATGACAAACCTCCTCAACAATAAGAGAGCTTTGTTGTAAGGAGACCTTCTACTACTACTTATAGCGAAGCTTCAAGTGTCTAGTGTTACAAATATGGATGAGCTCACTTCATTAGTGATTGTCCTCAAATGAACAAGTGTTTTAGATATGGCTAGTAAAGTGATATCTCCAGAGATTGTACCACAAGGGTTAGATAGCCTAGAGTTTCTCAAAGAGTTGAATGACCTATTATAACTAGCAGCATGTTTGCTTTATCTAAAGGCAAGGCTTTTACCTCATATGATCTAGTCAAAAAGAAAGGGAAGGTGGTTGGTAAGGATGTTTTGATCATTTTTTATTCTAGAGTTACTCACTCTTTTATTTCCATTGATTGTGTAGAGAGGTTGGGTTTGGCTAAGAGTCCACTACATGTTGATTTGACTGTGTTTACTCTTACACATATTTATTTGGTTACTTTTGAGTTGTGATAGAGGTATATGGTAGATAGTATAGGGTGAACTTGATTTGTTTTCCTATGGTGGAGATTGACATAATCTTAGGTATGAATTGGTTATCTACAAATCATATTCTTATAAATTGTTTCGAGAAAGAGTTGGTATTTTTGGAGGTTGAGAATGATGGGGTGGTGTTAGCCAAGCAAGTGGATTTGAGAAATGCTTCTTGGATAGTGTGAGATACACCAATGAAGTTGAGTTCATAAGACTATATCAAGGAAATATGACTATTTTTGATTATGCCATGAAATTTGAGCATTTGATTCATTTATATTCTTAGGGGATTTTCGAGCTTGACTGGCACTAGGGAATATTATTTTTGGGATGACTGTTGTTAGGGCTACTCGAAAACCATACAAGTCGAAATCTACATGTATGAAGATACTCGAAAGGAAGATAGTAGTCAAACACCTACCAGGAACCTATTAGGAACCTTATTTGTTCGTGCTCGAGATCGAAAAGAAATTGGTCAAGTAGAACAACGATGTGCTCGAAAAGAGTAAAGAGGTTACTGGAGGTTTCTTGTGCGGTTGCACCAAGGTGGTTATTAAAGAGCGAATCGAGGAAGTAAAGCACGTGGGGAGAACGGTTGGAGGAAGTTACATTTTAAGCCCACGTAAGTGATGTAGTGGACAGCAGTTATACACACTCACCGCCTGGGCATATGGCTTTCGTGCAAGGAATTGCTTCTAGGTATGACCATTTCTCGGCCATATTTCTTTTCTCTTTTTAGGATTAGGATTAGTTTAGTTGTCTTTTCTTCTTTTAATCATGTAGTTATATAGCTTTATAATTGTAACTCTTTAAGGTGATGTGAAAGTGAACCATGATTTATATTGCAAATATATGTATCGTTCATTCAGTTTATTTGAGGATTTATATGCATGAAAATTATTGCTTGTTAATCATTGACGAATATTTAGAAACAAGTAATTATTAAATCTTCTGCTCAATCTCTTGTTCTTCAAATATCTAAAAATGGCAAATACCTAACTTGAAACATCATTCGTGCTAGTTCGAATAAAAAGAATCCATAAACCAATTCCACCGTAAACAAATTGGCACGCCAGGTGGGACATGTTTAATTGTAAACATAATTGAACTAGTTTTAGGTATGCATGTTGTATGAGACTCAGGAGTGGAAGAACCATGTCTACGTCTAATAGTAGGAGTGAAATGAACAATGATAATCAAGTAGATAGAACAAGGCAATCCCAACCCCGATAATGAAACAAGGGGGGCAACATCTCCCCCTGTTGTACTCGAAAATTGGGCTAGGCAACCCAATGTGTCCCAAGAATTTGCGAATGCTACCAATACCACTAGAGAATATCCGTGGGGTATGCCACAAAACTGGCGAAATACCCAACCAGTACATGTTGAGATGCCAATACCCTATTTAGGACCAAATCCACAAATGCATGTATCCCCACAGGGATATAATCCTGGCCAAAATGGTCTGGGTTTTGTTATGCAAGACCCGTATCAACATGTAGGGACAAGTCACGAAGGTTCTATGGTTCGACAGAGTAGTTATATCCCCACAGGTATCAGTAATCAAGCCATGATGGCCCTTCGACAACAAATGGACCATAGTAATCATGACATGGTCAATTTGTTATCAACTCAAATGCACAACATAATGACCCCCTTGTATGAATTGATAAATAAAATAGGAGATAAATTGGGTGATGTTCCACCTTCGAGAGCCATGAGTGAAAATTTGAACGATGTGGAAAATTTAGGTGGGAATGTAGTTTTTCCTCAGAACGTAGGTCGACCTCATAGGAACCCTGATGAAAATTTTGATCAAATTGTAGAAAGGGTATTAAACAGGCATTGTTTCGAGGTAGGTCAAAATGAGCGTCCCTATTTTGTGTCAGCCTTTCCAGATTATATAACTCAGGTAGAACTGCCTAGGGGGGCAAAAGTCCTGAAATTTTCGAAATTTGCAGGAGAGTTAAATGAGTCTACGATTGAACATATAGCTAGATAT